TCGCGCCGTTCAATATGACAAAAAAATTTTCACCATTTTTTCGTTTTCCATACCCGAAAAAGCAGATTTCGGGAGAATCAACCATATACGGTTCGGTTACGCGATGAGGCTCTCTTTCGCTCCCGCTCGACTCCCTTACAAGGAATCAAGCACACGCGAGCTTGTGTGTGAGCTGGCTGCGCAGCTGTGCGCCGCGCGTATAAGTCTGGCAGCACATAGCTGCAGGTAAGACTATGGCCGATCGGTAACTCAATAGAACGGATCCGCGCGCCCGAACACGACTTTTTCCTTTCTTTCTTCTGTTGCACGTCCTGCGCGTGCGATAGCTGTGTGTGTGTACGTATGTGTGTGTGCAACTTGCAGCCGCAGTACTATATACGTGCGGTCGGATAATTTTTTTTTTTTCATTTCGTTTAGTTTAGTTTTTTTTTTTTTGTTGTTGTTTCGTTTTCTTTTTATGCTTTATGCCTTTCTACGCGTCTTGGCAGCGACGGAGCTGCTGCTGCTGCTACAGCTGAGCGCGCGTAATATACATGTGCAGCCCGAACGCAATCCGTTTTTACACAAGAGAAAGCGAGGCAGAGAAAAGACTCTTATAAGGCCAGGGCATACATTATACACGTGCACGTAAACATAGACAGAGAGAGAGCGGCCACACACACACACACACACACACACGCGCGCACACATACACAGACGCTATTCCCAAGCCATGTATATGTGATGCATACATATACACGCGCGCCCTTTGCTTTATGTATATGGGTCGTATAAAGAGACAAAGGTCTCTGATCCCTGGCGTCTTGTTTTCGTAATTTGGCACCGGACGTCCTTCTGCTGGCGCTGCTGCCACTGCCACTGTACTACTCTGCTGCTACTGCTGCACATATACACACACCAACAGACAAGCGAGCACACATACACTCACCCGCGCGTATATTCTTTACGAGCTTGCAGTATAAAGCTCGAGCTGCAGCTGTACATACCGTCGGGAGAAATCAGGAGAAAAAAGCGCAGCCCTGGAGCTCCGAGGCTTGAAGAATCCGTTGAAGGTAAAACTTTATAGGGAGAAAGGGAGCGAGAGTAGAGAGTAGAGAGTAGAGAGAGAGAGAACAGAAAGAGAGAGGTAGTTTGCAGCCGCTACGAGCTACTATACTCTCACCGTTAGCTAGACTTCATTTGTCCTTTTGTAGTAGCTAGACGCTTTTCTTGCCCAAAGGATTGCCAGCCACAAAGTTACGCTATATTGCACCGTCGAAATAATTCGATTGCGACGCTTTTTTGTCCCTATATAGACAAATAGAGCATACACTGCACATATAGAGATATTGTGTGCAGTCTCCCGCTGCGTCTTTATGTGTATGTGAGTATTAAAGTTTTTCTCTGTTCGCGTGGAATCATCAACGCATTCTCTTGTGTGTAGTAGTAGTAGCAGTAGTAGTAGTAGTAGAAGCGAGCTGCTTTTTGATCGTTTATGATCGTAAAAAAAGAAGGCAAGCTGAAAAGAGAGAGAGAGAGAGAGAGCGCGCGCGCATGAAAGTTTCAACGTTACAACTGTGATTGTGTTTCAAGCCCCGAGACTTTTTATCCTTCCCGCTCTCTCTCTCTCTCTCCCGTCTTACTTTGCACCTCGCGGAGTTTATGTGCCTGTGCGCGCGCTAAACTTTTTTTCAAATCATTACCTCTCGCTGCCAAGAGGGAACGCGATAGAGAGCTTGCAAGAGAGCTTGCAAGAGAGCACGAGGGAGGGGGGGAAGCGAGATGGAGAGAGAGAGAGAAAACAGCTTCTCGCGCGCTCGTACGCTACCAAAGACTTTTTGCGTTTTAACAATAACTCGCGAAGGAAACTTTTCCTTTTGATTTAAAGCCCACAAAGGAAGTGCATTTGAAAATTGCCAAACGCGCGCCGCCGCCGCCACCCCCGTGCGCCAACCTCGAGCTCGTTCAGCTCGCGAGTATAGTGTCGCGCGACGCTCGAACTTTAGCCGCAATTTCACAGTTGCGGCATAACGTGGGTGCTGTTGCTTATACGATCCTACTTGCACATCTTTCTCTCTCTCTCTCTCTCTCTCTCTCTCGATTCTTCCTCTCTCTTTGAGCCCAGGCATCTCCACCGAGCTTATACACCTCTCGCGCTGCACGACTAGTGCAAACAAAATCTTGTGCCTCTCAAGCACACACATACAGAGCTTGCAGCAGCAGCAGCAGCCTGCAGCCGGCTGCAGTGCGCGCGCGAGCAGCCGTTAGCACGAGCTGCGTAACAAGCCAAATTTTCTGGAAACATAGTTTCGAACATCGAATCCATGCACTGCGCACGTGCGTCTATACCAACGTCTAGCTCTGTGTGTAAACACACGCCCCACACATAGCTGCCGCTGCATACACACACAGATATAAATCTATGCAAGTATCGAGAGTTCGGCTAAGAGAAGTTTTGCCTGCAACGAAGTATGCACGTGTGCTGAGTGGCGATGAAGCTCCGCAAGACTGTTTATGCTGCCGCTACTACTACTACTACTACTGCGATATACATACATAGGCGCGCACGGCACAACGTCGCATCGACTTTTGAGCGATGTTACTTGATGCTCGCTCGACTTTATGTTAAAGTGAACACTAATACACTCTCTGTGTAATAATATGAACAAGTTCGCGGACGGGCCAATGGGAGGGTTTACCTTACGGCGTACAGCAATATATACCTGTCTCGTATAGTACAGCCTGCACCGACTAACCAAATTTTGGACCCGTGCGCTCACGCGCCTCTGCAAGGATTTTCTCTCTGGTGTATTGGCCCAAACTTTCATCGCTCCCTCTCTCTCCCATTAAATTAAATTCGGTCAAACTCGAGAGGGAGATAGAGAAACAGCGTATACAAACATTTACGCGAGGATCCATCGCGAGCCGGACCCGTATCGGAGTATATAGCGCGTCATACATAAGCTGAAAAAATAGAGCCAAGAAATCGAAGCATCGGCCCCGGCTCTCGAAGCGTCTAATTCTTTGATTAACGAGAGCTCAACAATAAAACGACGTTTGCGACGTTATTCGCTTAAAGGCTCGCGCAGTCGGTGATTTATACGAGCTAAACTTTAATCCGTACAGCCCGTGTTTATATCCCTGTAGTCTAGCGCCTGTAGCTATGTATATGGCGAGCGAGCCGATGTCGTCGTCGTCTGATAGGCAGCCGATACTCTTGCGAATCGAATCAACAAAGCTCAGAGGTAGAGCGCCGAGTTGATGCCGACGTCGCTGCATTACAATCCAAAAGATCCCCCCACCCCCGTATAAACATGTATACGCGTACACACATTGAATACGCTGCTCACGTATTAGAAGCCAATAGCCGTGGCCATCGCCATAGCCGCCTATCGTCGATAATGACGAGGCGATGACGCTGAAAAAGCTCGACGCGATAATATACTTGATGAGCAAAAGCTTTTGCCGCAAGTGCAACAGTAGTAGTAGTAGTAGTAGTAGTAGTAGTAGTAGCTATGACGCTGGTCGTGCGCGACATGAAAGGCAACTGCTGCGACTGCATAACTGACCTACGGACGGGTAGGATGCCTCTACGTACACACGCGCGCGTGCATCGCTGATCAAAGTAGCCTCATTATATGCAAGCTCATGCCGCTGCATAAGCTTTTTTTTCTCTTCTCTCCTTATATACTCGATCCACGAGCACGTTAGCATATATATGTGCACCTTTGCGTTATATTTTCTCTCTTGCTCTTTTGCGTTCGTTGCTACTATACCTTCGCAGCGTATCATTACACAAAGACATGCTGATTTTTTTTCTTTAAAGCCTAATTATACGAGCAATTACCTGTATGCACGGATGCAGCCGCAGCTCTGCACCAAACCAATAGGAAACCCCATATATTATCGACTAATTGACTCGTGAGACGAGGTCACACTGGCCCGGCCCGACATGCAAAGATCGTAGTAGTACACGTCGTCGTCGTGACGCGCGATAATCATTATTGAGAATCGATCGAGCCAAGTTCTCTCTCTTGGCCCGGCGCATTGGAGCTCGCGCGCGTCCCCCTCCTGCGCGCTATTGTTTCGCGAAAGAACGACAGAAATTTCACTCGAGGCGCGCATCGCATCATGGCTATATATACCCCTATATATATAAAAGGCGAAGCCACGACGATGGATTTCACCGATGTAGCTCGCTGGCGTGTGCGGCTTCCAAACAAACTGACTGACTGATTGGAATTCCACAATAAGAAGTAAACTCTTTACTCGCAGTTCGCGTCGTGCTATATTAACTTTATAGAGCAGAAAAAGCGGAGAATCGTACTTTAAGTGTTTATATTGAATACGCGTCTATGGACGCGTGTATATACATCGAAATCCTTGCAAGCAGTCATAAAATTAAATAGAAAAATTTCCTTCGGGGTAATTATTGGAAAAATCTTCACAGACGAGGGAAGAGTCGACTTGGTCTTTAGGAAAAGAAGCAAAAAAGGGAAGAAGATGAAGAGAGAGAACGAGTAGTATAAGGTGGAACGCAGGCTGGCAGGCAAGGCAAGGCAAGGCCGGTGCACTTTCTTTGACGAAGCATAATAATTTTCTTCCAAGATCATCTTAAACGTAATTTGCTGATGATGCCAAACTCCTGAGTCGCGTGCGCACAAAGTCATATCGGCTGCCTCTCTGCAGGGATCTCTCGCAGTATACACCCCCGCGTAGCTGCTATATACGTATATACATAAACATGCACTTGAGACTTTTCTTTTTTTTTTTCTTCTTTTTCTTTCTCTTCATCCTCTTCTTTTTTTTCGCCCGACTGGAGCTTTGGCTTCTCTCTTTGCGCGAGGAGCTCTTGACCAAGAGAGAGAAAGCGAAGCTCCGCGAGATAAAATTTCGATTTGAATTTCCTCAAACAATGAACGTAATAGCGGCGGCGATCGGCCGTCGTATCCAATTCGATGGTAATAAATATAATACAATGAAAATTAGCTAACGAATCGGCGTATCGTTTGATTTTGCAGATATCTCTTCCTCTGGCTGGCTGAATCGATATTTCGAATTGAAGCCAGCGCTGCGCCCGTTGGAAACTGCGCGAGGATGCTCGAAGAGCGTCTCGGGTCCAAGCGATAATGTGGACGACGACTGGGCCACGCGCTAAGCACAAGCAGAGCCTCGTACTCGTCTTAATAATTCACTGGCTACAGGCGACTGCTGCCTCGGTCGTCTACCATCCCAGGCAGCAGCAGCAGCAGCAGCAGCAGCAGCAACAACAGCAGCAGCAACAGCAGCAGTGTCCACCGGCCAACGTCATGCCAGGCTGCCCGTGCTACAGCTTCGTCGACGGCCTCTTTCTCGAGTGCACGAGCACGAGCGAGGAGGCACTCAAGACGGCTCTCGCGCGCGTTCTCGACCAGTCTAAGCCCTCCGGTGAGTATACACACACACATACGCGCGCGCACTGCAGAGAATGAGTCGAAACTCTGCGCAGCTAACCCTCCATTAATTAAACCCATATCATGTCTTATATGAACTCCCACCCACCTACATCGTCGTCCCTCTCGTTCTCCCTCTCGCTTTCTCGCTCAATGCTTGTCTTGTAATTTTTCTTCTTCTTTCTTCTCTTCTGCTTCTTCCTCTTCTTCTTTTCTACTGACTACCCACTTGTGTCTAATAACCACTCGCTTTTTTACTTCCATCTCGACACTGCCCTGTCTCTCTCTCTCTTTCTCTCTTTCTTCCCTTATATACCCCCCGCGATACACATTTTGTTTCTTGCTTGCTTGAACTTTCAGCTATGTATACCTGAGCATGCTACTACTGCTGCAGCATCACTATTAGCACTTGCTCGCTCACAACGACTTATGAACTCTTGATAAATCGTTTTTTTACACTAGTTGAGCGAGTAGTGCTTAATTTCGTGTTTCGGCCCCCTAACCCGTATATGGCCAATTCAATGTTAAATTGAATAGCTTAAAAAATGTTTCCTAGTGCCATGAAAAACGTATAGATCAAAAAAGACCATTCTAAATGTCTTTAAGTGAAATACTATCAATTGACTTTTTTGACGATTTTTCTCATATAAGCATGTTACAATAATTAAGCGCCTTCCAAATGCCCTGAAAAAAGAATTTAATTATTTTTCAAGAACTTTTAAATTTATAATATCACTTAAAGTCTCCATCACTAGACGGCGAGAACCTTAATTAATAAAACTGCAAGTGGCAAAGTATAAATAATTACATAAGGCATTGTACGGTTTTTTTTTATATTTTAGTGCATTGACCCAGCGAAGGGGTATTCGCACTTACTTTAATGTAACTTTCCACTTTCTGTATATTTTCTGTAATTATTGTACGGTTTTAATACCAGTTCAAAAATCAAAACAGCGCGTTTAACATGCCATCAGGAAAAAGCATTTTTTTCCAACTTCAATTTAACACAGAATCAGCCATATAGAGTATAGAGCGAACGAAAAAGAAAAAAAAGGTATGTTTAAGCGCGACAGCGTCGAGTCTCTTGTATACGTGGCCGCTGCTGCTCGCAGCTTTTACCCGCGCTTATAATATACGGGCGAGCTATTTTATCAATTTTTCCGCTTACATCTATTATAGACGTACTCGAGAGCGTATAATACACACAGAGTCACGCGCACAGCTTACGCGAGCGCAACGAGTTACATATTAAAAAATAAAAAGTAAAAAGAAGAAGAGAAGAGAAGGAGGAAGAGGAGGAAAAAAAGAGCCATGTCAACTGTATCGCGCGCGTATAAATTTAAGGGCAAACTGCTGAAGGACAAAAAAAGCACGAGCGGCTGGGCGTATATAAGAGAGAAAGCTCGTGTTTACCCTGAGCATATTTATTGTAAATTTTTCACTCGAAAATGCTCATCGTTATTCGAGTCGGTGCGACTGCAATCCATAGTTGATATTCGATATTACGCGGCAATCGTGACTCGACTCGCAGATACGACAGTTAGCTCGAGCTCCGGCAACGGCACTAGCAGCAGCGGCAACGACGCCAGCCTCGGCTCTCTTTCTCTCTCTCTCTCTCATATACACGTAAAACGTCTTTCAGGAAGCTCATGAAAATCCCAGCGTAAACCTTTAGTGCTACGAGTATAGAATTTCTTAATACTCGCGCATACAGGGGAGACCGTCGCCGCCGCCATACGCACAAGCTCGTGACGAGTGCGCCGTGCCAGACTCGAGGGCGCGTAGAAGCAGCAGCAGCAGCAGCTCGTTGCCGTCGTTAATAATGCAAAACTCGGCTTCTCGCTTTCTCTCGCTCTCTCCGAGATCTCCAAAATGATATTTGCCGTCTGTTGCAGAAGCCGTAATCCAATCGCTGACGGTGTACGAGCTCGATCGCAAAGTCGAGGAGCTGCGCGCCAACGTGTTCCCGCGCGGCCTGATCGTCCGCCAATTGCAGATCGCCCACTCGGGCATCCGCGAGCTGACCGAGGGCGCCCTGCTCAAGTTCAGCACGAGCCTCGAGCTGCTGGGCCTGAGCTCGGCTCGGTTGGCCGCGGTGCCCCAGAAGGCCCTCACGGCCCTGGTGCGGCTGCGCGAGCTCGACCTCGAGGCCAACTTCATCCAGGAGCTGTCGAGCTTCGCCTTCTACGGCCTCAACCTCGTCAAGCTCAACTTCAAGAGCAACCAGATCAGCAAGATCAGCGAGTACGCGTTCGCCGGGCTGGAGGACACGCTGCGCGAGCTCAATCTCGCCGAGAACAAGATACGCACGTTTCCCATGACGGCCCTGCGCCGCCTCAACAGATTGGCCGAGCTCAAGCTCGCCTGGAACGAAGTTTCCCAATTACCCGAGGACGGCTACTCGCTCCTCGACGGTCTGCAGCTACTCGACCTCAGCAGCAACAATTTCCTCGTATTGCCACTCAACTGCTTCCGCTGCTGCCCGGCCCTACAGACTCTATCGCTCTACTACAACGCCATCGAAAAACTCGACAAGGACGCCTTCATATCTCTCAGCGAGCTCGAGAGCATCGATCTTAGCCATAACCGCATTATCTATCTGGACCCGGCAACTTTTCGGGCGAATCAGCGGCTGCGCTCGATCGATCTCAGCCACAATCACGTGCACCACATTGGCTTCGTGTTCGCCCGGCTGCCGGAGCTGCGCGAGCTCTTCCTCGCCGAGAACAACATCCTCGAGATCCCGGCCGACGCCTTCGTCGGCAGCGTCAGCCTCGAGCTCATACAGCTCCAGCAGAACGCGATAGCTCGGCTGGACGTGAGAGGCCTGCAGGGCCTGCAGAGGCTAAGCCAGCTGCACCTTAGCGACAATTTCATCGAGGTGGTGCCGCGCAACTTTTTTCAGCATTCCAGTAATTTATCCATACTCTCGCTGGACAACAATTACATAAGAGACTTGGAGTTGGGTACCTTTGCCAAACTCAAATTATTGAGAGAACTTCGACTGCAAGATAATCAGATCACCGAGGTAACTACACACTGTATTATGTATAAAATATTAAATTTAATACAAATTTTAAAGGAAATTGTTACAAAAAATGCAGTAATGGATACTAAACTTTATTTGAGGTACTTTTACATTAAATCTTCGTTGAAATACAATGTAACAGAGCTAATTCATTTTTTTTTTTTTTACTTTAACTAAGAGTAAAATAACGGAAATGCAATTTAAATCATTATTTTTATAGCAAAAATAAAAAAATAGAAATTTAATTTTATATTTAAATTTAAAAAATGTTGATTATAAATTAATGTTTTAATACTGATTTATTTTTTCTAATTTATGAAAAGGCAAACATAATAAAATTCAGACTCCACCGCTAGATGCCGAATACCTTTATTTGTAAATCTGCAAGTAGCAAAGTGAGAATAATTGTATAAGTTGAAGCAGAATTTTCAAAGCTTAAATCTAAGAATATTATGATGTCTAATGCATGCTATTCATACAATGCATGCCCAAAGACGCGCGCAAAAACATGATGGTTAAAAACAGTTTCTATCGGTGAAAACTCAGAGCTCAGTGTAACTAGATGTGAATTTAGCTTTCGGTGTTACTCAATGAGATTTATGCTTTCGTTGCACCTCGATGAGATTTGAGCTTTCGGTGCACACGATGAGATTTCTGCTTTGTGCTGTGCGCTAAGCTTTTAGAATTCGGACAATTCAGAAGCCGAATTATCATCTTGTTGCACTGAGTTCTGAGCTTTAATTCATGATGATTAATCTTTCTTGTACAAACCTTAAAATTGACTTATATTTTTGATTTTAACTTTGATTTTGGACACGAAAAATTAAAATAAATTTTTTAATATCACGAAAATATACAATGTTAGCTATCCGTATTCTTGACAGTGAAAGATGAAAATTTAGAAAGATGATATTTTATGTTTTTATTTGAATTAAAATTCAAAAGTGTTACATTCAGTTTAATGCGTAGCGATTCACAAAAAACTCGTTGTAATTGATCAAAATCACATGAATTTAAAATGAAAAATTCTTCATGAAAATTCGTCTCGACATTTGATTTTCAGATCAGGAGAGGCGTTTTTTCTCCACTACCTTCGCTACAGGAATTGCATCTTCAGAACAACGCCATAACGGACATGGAAACGGGAGCTCTGAAGTCGTTGCACAGTCTGCAGCAGGTGAACCTGCAAGGCAACCTACTGGCCGTGCTGGGCGACGTCTTCCAGTTGGCCAACGACGCCTCGTCGAGTAGCGGTAGCAGCAACGGTGGCAGCGTCAGCTCCCTCGTGTCCATCCAGCTGGACAGCAACGGACTGGGCGTGCTGCACAACGACTCGCTGAAGGGCCAGGCGTCGATCCGCACCGTGTGGCTGGGTCACAACAAATTAACGAGGCTGCAGGCACCCTTGTTCCGGGACCTACTGCTCGTCGAGCGGCTCTACCTGACCAATAACTCGATTCTGCGAATCGAGGACACGGCCTTCCAGACGATGCAGGCGCTAAAACTGCTGGATCTCAGTTTCAATCGTCTCATGCACATAACCGTGAAGATATTTTCGGAATTGCACGAGCTCGAGGAGCTCTACCTGCAGGACAACGGCTTGGTGCGGATCGACGCCTACGCCCTGACCGCCCTCAAGCGGCTGCGCATCCTCGATCTGTCCAACAATCGACTGACGGCCCTCCACGACAACATGTTCCAGGAGGGTCTGCCCATCCGCAGCCTCAATCTGCGCAACTGCTCCATCAGCATAATCGATCGGGGCACCTTCCGGGGCCTCAACAACCTCTACGAGCTGAACCTCGAGCAGAACCGGCTGACCGCGGCGGCCCTCGTCAGGCTCGACATTCCGGGCTTGCGTCAGCTCAAGCTGTCCCACAACAATCTGAGCCTCATCAGCAGCGAGTCGCTGGACGGCCTGCCCTCGCTGCAGCAGCTCTCCATGGAGTCGTGCCAGCTGTACCGGCTGCCCGGCGACCTGTTCTCGCGGACCAAGAACCTGGCGCGCCTCTTCCTCGGCCACAATCAGCTGCACCAGCTGAGCGAGCGTCTGTTCCACGAGCTCGACTCGCTGCGGGAGCTGCGCCTCGACGCCAATCGCTTCCTCGACCTGCCTTACGACGCCCTCGGCAACGTCTCGTCCGTGGAGATACTGTCGCTGGCGCGTAACTCGCTGCACGACAGCGACGCCTCGCGGCTGCACGGCCTGCTGAGCCTGAGGGAGCTCGACCTCAGTGCCAATCACATAATGTCGCTCTCGGGCTTCGGCATGACGAGATTCAACAAGCTCGTCAACGTCGACCTGAGCTACAATCAGCTGAGCGACCTGCCGTCCAATCTGTTCATGCGCTCGCCCCTGCTGAGCAGGCTCGAGCTGTCGGGCAACAAGCTGCGCCAGGTGCCCACGGCCATGATGAGCAGCGACAAGCTGCCCTCCCTCACCTGGCTCAACGTCAGCAGGAATCCCCTCCAGCAGGTTTACGAGATCGGCTTCGAGTCGAGCTATCCGGGCCTCGAGGAGCTCCACATCACCGGGACGAACCTGAGCCTGCTGACGAATCAGGACTTTCTCGCCTTCCCGCAGCTGCTGCACCTCTTCATGAGCGGCAACGCCATCGCGAGGATCCTGCCGGGCACGTTTCAGCCCCTGCCGAAGCTGCTCAGCCTCGATCTGGGCTCCAACGACATAGAGTTCCTACCCCCGGATCGGCTCCGGGGTCTTCAGCAGCTGCGCCTGCTCAACTTGACTCGCAACAAGTTGCGCGAGCTCGACGAGTTCACCCAGGACCTGAAGAATCTGCAGATGCTCGACTTGTCGCGCAATCAAATCGGCCAGATTCCCAAGACGGCCTTCCAGCATCTGGAAAACTTGGCCGAGCTCTATTTGAGGGGAAATCGAATAACCGTCGTCAATCACGACGCGTTCAAGCCCCTGAAAAAACTGAGCTTCCTCGACATCAGCGATAATTCTTTCACGAATTTGCCGCTCAATGCGCTCAAAACGCTGGAAACACGAATTCGAACGTTACGAGCAGAAGGTACGAATATTATTTTCTATATTATAGAGCACGGAAATATTTTGTATTTTATAGTGCTTATATCGCAAGCCTTAATTGAACAAAATATCGAATGAATTTAAACTCGAACGAGAAAAAAAATAACGCAGTGAATCGTTAAAAGATGAAAAAGGATAAAACAAACGAATTTAAACATTCTTTCATTGCGGTAATCCCCGGCTCGTGGCCAGCGAAATAAATTATTCAACGAGATTAGTTGAATCGAATTTGTTACAAAAATACCTGTAATTACGGACACGTGCTAAGAGCTCCGGTGCAGAGGCAGAGGCAGAGGCTCTCGGGTGTCGGGCGCGCTCGGAAAATACACGGGCGCGCGTATAGTCAAAGAGAATATAATAACGTCGAACGCGCAGCGCCTCACGGACGTGTGAAATATTCAATTTGCAGAGAATCCGCTAAGCTGCAGCTGCGAATTACAAGAGCTATGGGAATGGCTACACGACCATAGAAAGCTCATCGGTGGTCAATCGCGCAACCGCATGGCCAGCGTCGGAAGAGTTTCCACGACGAGCAGCGGTATAACCGCCGCCGCCGCCGCTGGCCTGCCCAACGAAGCAAAACAAATACGCTGCGATCAGCCGCTCGAACTTCGGGGTATGATCTTCCTTCAGTTGGAGACACGGACCTTTTGCTCGGCGCCGCTCATACCCAAATTAGCCATTCAGGATGTACAGCCTCACTCCGTCCTCGTTGCCTGGCAAAGCCGTAATCACTCGGGCCTCTATGGATATCAGATCGCCTTTTACGCTCTGGATAATTCCGACGAGGTACTGGCTGAATCGAAGCTCGAATTCTCCTTGCGAGAGCCGTGTCTCGCGATGCTAATCTCTCATCTCCCTCTTTTCGCCAGATTCACAGCAAAATGCTGAACCCGAGCGCGCGCTCGCTGCGGCTGCAGGGCCTCGTGTCGAACACGCGCTACCGCATCTGCATCCTCGGCCTGGGCTCCTGGAATCACCCGGAGGACGAGCAGCAGCAGTACCACCGGAGCCGATTCAACGGCTCGCACAACGAGGTCGTGATGGAGCGCTCGCTGGCCCCGGACCTGTCGGACTCGCCGACGACCCGCTGCACCGACGCCCTGACCCTCGTGATGCCCGACGCCGCCGTGGCCAGCAGCGACAGCTCGAGCCTCGGCAAGACCGATCCCAGCAGCAGCACCAGCAGCGACGCCGCCGCGCCCAACGGCGCCAGCAACGTCCTCACCAGGCGACTCGGCCTCACCATCGGCTGCTGCATGGGCTTCATCGTCTTTATCCTGCTCATCTCGGTGCTCGGCTATCTCAAGGTATAAAAAATCATCCCACGCTCGCATCCACCTTTTTTCCCATCGTCCATCGCGTCGAAAATTGCTATACTTTTTTTACTCTACTTTTTTTTACTTTACTTTGCGCGCATCACGATACACGACGCTGCTGTGTACGTTTTCTCTCTCTCTCTGGGGGAGTGAATTTCTTTTCCTTCGCTCGGCGGTGAATTTCGAAGCCATGGATCTCTCGGGCGCGCGCGCGGTTACGTGTGGCATGCGGCTCCGACGCGCATCAGCCAGATGATCGATGCTCTCTCGCTCTGCCCGGCCGCAATTGAATTTTAACTCATCGCTGGCTTTCGATATGTCTGCAGATGTGTGCGCGCCACTGCTGCTGCAAACCCTGCTGTACTCGCTTTCTCTCGCTCTCTCTATCTCTCTCTCTCTCTCTCTCTCTCTCTATCTGACTCGCACGTATACATATATACATGTATATATCAGCCTGAACAATTTACTAAATCAGGGGAGCGTGACACATTTCCAATTACCGCTGCATCGACAACATTTTTCATTTATCAAAAGATTAATAATACCCTTGACAGAATTAAGAGAATATTTGCCTTGACGATTAATCACGCGGACAGACGATACCTCGGCCAACGGCTCAATCTTTCTACCGGATCTTTCTAGATTCTTCCTTCTGCTTCTTTTTTCTCTTTACACCCGAGACGCAGGGAAAAGGAGAACTAACTGGATCGAATGAACCGAAAACCAACGTACTTGTCAGTGTTTGAGAACTTTTTTTCATGCAATTCACGTAAATTTTCAAAAGTTGCTAGAAATTATTTTATTGTAAATTTAGAGTCTACTAAAAATTTTTAATTTTATTGCGAGAATATGTAGTAGAATACTACGTCCTCACTCTTATTTCTATTCTTTTTCAAATTCAATTATATCACACACTTTAATTATCTTCTGTATGAATAGAAAAGATATTTTTTCAATAATATTGTTGAAAAAAATCGAATTACTTTGATGAAATTCACGGCGGAAACAGGTTCGCATATATAACAAGTCCAAGTACTGTCGTATTGACCGTATATCAAATTCGTATTTTTTGCGCGAAATCCGATGTGAAATGTTAATAAGAAAAGACCATTGATGAAAAAATGGTAATACTTTGCGCGAATATTTATTCTTCGCGTATTTATTTTGTTAATCTCGAGAAGCTTTTAACTTAATTTTGAGCTAAGCCTCTTGTCGAGCGCAATGTTTTGTTCATAATAAAAAAAAACGGCGCACGTTTCATTAGAATCTTCTTAACCGTACAATATAATTACATAAAATATCACCCAAGCACGCGCATTAACGTAGTAGTACGTATGTTTTTAACCTGCGTGAATCGGTCGAAAAGACCCTTGTCCATTTTTATTTATCAGAAACAAAAAAGAGGGAGAAATAAAAAAGATAAAAAAAAAGAAGGAGAGAAAGATATGTATCAAGCTGTACGTGCAAAGCTCGCGCAGAGAATCAGTTACTAGTTTTGGCCTAGTCGCCAAAATCCAATACCCTGTCCATATCGCTCGACAGCTCGAAATATCTATCTTTTATTTTCGATCGTTCATTTTATTGAAACAAAGCTTTCGATTCGTACGTCACGAAGAGCGAGCAGCATCGCGCGCGCACGGGCCAGAGCTGGAGGGGGTAGAAAAAACAAGCGTCGAATCGACTCGGTGTTTTCTTTGCGAGTCCCTGCAGAGATACGGTATCGCAGGTAGCTTCGGTATCCTTTGCAGCAGCAGCAGCAGCGGCGGCTTGGCGATACATCTGTATAACTGGCTCGTCGCGCGCTGCTACTGCTACACCTCACTCCCCTCGAGCAGAGACTCAATGTCAATATGAATCATTCTCTTTTATAGTCTTTACAACTTTTGTTTTTCGTCGTCTCTCTTGACACGTGAAAAAGATGAAAAAACGGGGCGGAGACGAGATAAAAAATCATTGACAAGCCAAGCGAGCGAATCGAAAAAGAAGCTGTAATGATGAACGGAAAAAAATGTAAAAATTGCAGGTGAAGAAACAGCGCGAGGCAGCCAAGCGAGATCAGCAGGCGGTTCCACCGGAGTACATATCCTACAGGCAGTTCAGCCTGCAGAGCGGAGCGGCCGGCGCAGCGACGACGACGACTCTGACGACGAACAACACGACGCTGGACTCGCAGGGCAGACAGCTCCAGGCGACGGCCTCGGTCACCTCGAGCCTCGACGGCAGTCAAACGACGCAGCTGCAGCTGCACCAGCAGCAGCAGCAACAGCAGACCGCGCCGAGCTTCATAACGACCGGCTGTCCCGGAGCTACGCACGGTATATAGCCAACGACCTACGTGTAAGGAGGGGCCACTGTTATTGTTACACAGCCAGATACACACGAGCGACGGCGACGGGCAACTTTTATGCTCCGTACGCGTCGACAACCCCAAGACTTACATAACATTATAGCCGGCCGGCCGCCCGAGAGCCAAGTGCTGGCAATCCTACGTCGTATTTATGGTCTATTGTGTACTTGGGTTATTGAGCTTATTAAATAAGTAATTCGACTTTGTGTTTACCATTAACATCCGGTAATGAGGGCGCATTGCAATTAATTCATTCGGGAACAAAAAGCCAGCTCAGCACAGCTGCTACACTGCGCATCCTCCGACGGACGAGCCTCGCCCGCGACGAGCCACAAAAAATCCCTCGAAAGATGAGACCAACTTGATCTATTGTATATTCATTTATCTATTACTGTGTACTTTGGCGCCGGTCAAATATAGCCCAGCAAATAGCGTTACATAACGGGTGTACACATGATAGCCGGAGCGCGCCCTGATTGACGTTAATTAGAGTCCGCGTTGAATTAATATGAAAATGCGCACCACTCGGGCTCGCGCCGTGGTTATGTAGAAACACAATTATAAATATATAGATATGCATATAATATTGGCCGCGTCAGACGTATGGCTCGTGTAACTCATCGCCAGTCGCGCGCGCTCACTACATCTAGGTAATGCAAACTTTAGAAACTATGCATTTGTACATATACATAGTAAATGACGCAATTATCAAAGACTGCATCAGTTTCTATTTATACTATACGTGGCGCGCGCGTTGTACATATTATATACCTATATTATATTATATATCAGGATGGTGATATTGTTAGCGCGCGGCGCAGCAACTCTCCTATATACGCATTTACATGCATACCTGTGCTGTAAATAAATGCACGTGTGGTGCGCTGCATACGTATTAATTGCGTGCGAAAAGCACCACCACCCCCAAGTTCGAGCCCAAGTACACAATGTATTATAGATAGGGCACATATTTCTCTACACACTAACACATACACACACACACACACATTAGCGATACCCTGACACATAGAACGGATATTCAGGACTACACGTACAACCCATGGATACACATTTAGACAAGTCGCAGGCCCCCCTTGCACTGCAGATCGTTTTCACGTATACATACATACGTGCGTGTATATATTGTAACTGCACAAACGAAATTATATATAGTTATATATACGTATACGCGATATAGTTTTGGAATATATGCGCGGCGGCACTGGTGCGCGCACATAGTAGATACCTACTAGGCGCGAGAGGACGTGTGACAGAGTGTATAGGTAGGCGCGCGCGCGTTTACATCATCAGGCCAATTTCAATCAATTTCTATTAGTCAACGGGTATGTGTGTGACGCGCCGTGTGTATATAGATACTGTACGGTTGATTCCGCCGACGCGAGGTCAATTTTTTCAGTTCCAGCGTACGTGGCGTAAAAACAAGTTTACACAAAAAAAGCTTTGACAATTTTACCATTTCATAAAATAAACTTAGAAACCACCGAAGTGGGGCTGAATATTCAAATTAAAGCACCGTGGATATCATTGGTTTAGATGAAGAATGCTTCATGTTATTTATTTCAGAAAAAAAAAATTCCTCAAACATGAGCATTTTTCAAAGAATTTACTTTTATTAGTTTGAAATTGGTATTTTTAAAATTGATGGACATCATTTTTTTATGAGCTTGAATACCACTGACATAAATATTTAATTTTTATCGATTGAAGTACTTTTTAAACAATTTATAATAGTACTTAATAACGAATTATAACGATTATCCTGAGAGTAAATATTTAAAGAAAAACTCGAATGATTTCTGTGGACTTCGTGTATATTAGATAGAATTAATTTAAAAAATCGGAAAAGGGTTAATTGATTCACACTCAATTGGAAAAATTAACAATGAACGAGCGCGGAAAACCATTTCGATAATTCGAATTTACGAATCATCTGATATTCGAAATGTTTTTAATTTATTAAAGAGCTGTTTGAAATAATTTAATGATGCGGTGTGCTGTTTCGGTGGAATTAACCATATGCGTAATTGAAATTGTCATTAAAACTGTAGAATATGTATGTCCTCGAGACTCATAACTGCTAAGATATACGATGATCGACCATTACAGTTTGGAGCATCGAAAAGGCCAAAATTTTTATACATCATCGTTGGTGTGATATGCATGCGTGTATTTATGAGGGAAAAATGTAATCGTTGTAACGTTTTGTCAGAGCATGATGAAAAAAAAAAATAATGAACCAAATAAACTGTGTAAATATAATCTAGTATAAATTTTACCCTAAGATGTATGCGATTGCGTTGCGATAATAACAAATCGATATAAGTAAATGCATAAAAAGAAGCTAAGGAATTCACGATTGTGTGTGGCGCGCGTGGCGTGTGGATGAGAAAAGTTTCTGTACATATAGCGTATATAAAATGTTTCGAATGCGGATAGCCCGGGCGCGCGCTGCATAATGGAAAAAGAAAACAAAATACTTATAGATATAAATAGACAAAAAAGTAGAAGCCCCTTTAATGGACAATACGAGCATCGAAAAGGCGGAATTTTTCTCCTCTCTCTTTCTGCGTGTCTGTGCGTTGCGTGTGTTTTGTGTATAGGTGTGCAGCTTCTTTCTCTCCGGTATAGCGTGGAAACATATTTGGCGCATAATGTAGCGTGCCGATTAGAATACTCTACTGGCTCGTTCGCACGTCTGTGTAAATATTTCCGAAGGGGAGGCTACATAGAGCAGCTTTTCGCCAGCTCTCGCTTTTTTCTCCTCCCGCTCTTCTGGCCTGGCGCACAATCCCTTGTTCTTCGAGAATGGGCAAAAAAATCCATGTATATTGTATCGATATACCCGTATTATACGGCCTGTTACAGCGGCAGGAGCAGCAACAACAGCATCAGCAGCAGCAGCAGCGGAATCGGTGTAGTGCAGCCTCGACTCTATGTACGGCAGAGATATAGCATATCGTGGCGAAAAGCTCGCGAGAAGCTCAAGAGGAAACGAAAAGAAAATCCATTTGTGGCGTTAGCAGCAGCGGCAGCAGTACTGTAGCAGGTAGTAGCAGCAGACAGAGCGAGTGAGAGCAGCTAGCCTCCCTCATTGTGTTTTCTTAATGGCTAACGGCGCGTCGTATACACCACTCAAGAGCAAAAGAGAGAGAGAGAGAGAGAGTTTGGTTTCCTATATAGCCTGTATTCGGACGCGCTCACAGGGGGTTGCGACGACGACGACGACGACGAAGAGGAGAGCCTAGCTCTCTTTCTATCCCTCTGAGCTCGTGTGAGTGAGTGAGTGTACGTGTGTGCAAGTACGACTATAGGAAACGGGGAGACGTTTCCGCCCATAGAAAAGTAAACTAGCTGAGACTGAGTGAGAGGGAGAAAGAGCGACTGTATCGTTAGCTTAAATTTTCTCTCTCCCTTTCTCTCGCTCTCTCTCTGGCTGTGTCACGTGCTGCTGCTGCAAAGAGCTGGTCGTCGTCGTCGTCGTTGTCGATGTCGCCCGTCGTCTCAAGTATAGTAACACTACTACGGTTGCTGCTGCTGTTGCCGGCGTGCAGCTCTGGCAAAACGAGGAAAGTTTTCGTTATCGTTATCTCGTCCTTGCCGTGCGCTCCATGCACACGCGAACACCCTCATCAGCTGTATAAGTGTAGCCTGTATGTGTGTATAAAGCTCGTCTCTCTCTCTCTCTCTCTCTCTCTCGCTGTGTGTACTCAGCTGTATGTCAGTGTACCTATCACGTACGTGTGTATACGCGCGTTTCCTCGCTCAAGCTCGCTCGCTCTCTCGCGCCCTATAGCAAAGCCCGGCTCCTCTTTTACTTTAGGCTTTTGAATAGGTTACTGCTATGCTTGACTGTGCTATGCAGCCTCCCCCCCTCCCTCTTCCTCCGCTACAACTATTTCTTTTCTCCTGCGCGCACACACACCTCACTCCTCTCACGCTTCTTCTTTACTCCTCTTCTTCCTCTTCTTCTCTTTTTGTCCTCCTCCTCCTTCGCTCTCTCTCTCTTGTTGTTGTGATTGTTTTTTATTCACGCTCTTACGCGAAGCTTCCAAGTACGTATACAGCGCGCCAGTGTTCAGGAGTGGTGCTTCGTTCTTCTTTTGCTGCATTTTTTCTCCTCGTATTATTATTATTTTTTTTTGCTGCCACTGATGCTGAATTCTTCCTCCTCGCGCGCTCCGTGTGTATCATAACAGCGACCTATCTCGTTCGCGTTCGTAGCGTCTCTCTCTCTCTCTCTCTCTCTCAGCTATAAGGTATATATACCTGTACGTGGCGACAAAAAATAATTTTACACTCAAGAAGTAACTGCGAAATATTTCAAAGCTTCCTCGCAGGCATCGAGTGTGAATGCGCATGAAGCTGGCTGCATCCAAGCATGTACACGGCGTTCCGGAGCTTTCAATATTTATACCGCGCGACCCACACCCCCGACAATTATAATTGCATTCGAGTTTTCGTTCGCAAATGTATACATCCGTTCGTCAATTTTTTCGGGTATTTTTTAATAACGTTGCCCCGGCTTGATGAATGGCTCACGATTTATTGAATTAATATTTTTCCTTCATTTTGTACATCAAAAAAAAAAGGTAAAAAACACGGAGACGCAGTGCAGGTCAGCTTCGACACGTAAGCACGTACACCTATGGGAATTGAGAGTTCCGTACGCGTGTGTGCGCGTGAGTGAGAAAATCGAGCAGAGAGCGTGTGTGGGTTGGTATAGGCGCTGCGTGGGCGTCGGTGAGCGGTGTTGCTGTGTTTGCGAGCTCGCGTGTAAACACAATTGACAATACGGGAATATACATTGTACGCGTTGTTAGAAGGTAAAAGAGGAAAGGGCTTTTATTAGTTCGTCGATTGGAAACGAATGGAAAACAGAGAATGTGATAATCGCGAGGCGAGATCGTGTGCAAAGTTTACAGCGCGTGTGTGTCGATGTGTGTGTATGTAAACTCGCCTGGGTGTCCGCCGCGCGTTTTCTATGAAATGTATAAACCATTCCGACGCGGCAGTTCGCGTACATACGCTTCTGCATACATAAATGCAAATAATGCAATAAGTCGGCGATTAATAATATTGCGCGCGCGCATGACGAGTATAAAAGTACGAAGGATGATTGTGTTTGTATAATAGCTTCCTCCTTAATCACTGTAATATTTGCTCTGCAATTTTGCAATCGAATTGATGTTTGGCGGAGGACGAAAGAGTAAAATGCGATATGAAAAATTAAATAAATAAATAAATAAATAAAGTAACTAAAGTAATTTTATTGTTATAAGATGAAAAATATGTAAAATTGTTTTAAAATGAGTGTACGATTCATGGGCGTCTCTTTTGTGTATAAAATTTTTCTTCTCGACTCTCGTGTTTGGATAACGTTTACATGTGTGTGTCGTACGTCGATGTTCGAGCGACGTCGTTAATCAATTTTTAGGAAAAACAAAAAAAAACCGCAACGATATGTATTATAAAGTATGTATCGGTAACTACATTCAATATAGAATATAAAAATAAATGAAAGATCTTGTACACAATTGTAATAGAACAAAAAGTAAGATACACCTTTAAGAAAAGTATGAAATAATAAAAACGTGTCCATTTTGTAAAAGTGCCTTTTTTTTATTATCATTGCTCGGTGTCCATATAATGCATTCTCGCCCTCTCTCGCATCCACGCAGGTTCCCGCCCCGCCTGTGCACAGTCGTAAAGTGGAATGGCATTTTTACTTTTAGCTCCCGCTCACAGCTCGAAAACTCCACCGACTAGCGCTTGCTATACGCACACCTATACGCTTCGCAGCAGTGGCCCGTTCGCAGGTAACAAGACAAGGAAATAGTAATCCGTTAACATTTTTTGTGCGCGAGTTAATTGAGATAAAACTCCCGGCTGCGCTTGCAAATCATTCGTAAGCCTATTGAAGCAAATGTATTTACGCGTATGGCGCTTCGATGCGCAAATTTTACGTACACATATATAAGCCGGCTTTAATTCGCTTATGCTTATATGATGAATTAGGCAGGAAAATTGGCTTTTTCACCTTCGATACGCGCACACGAGTATGCGTCGGCTTGTTTGTGTAGAATTAGCAAAACTGCAAAATGAACGGGTGTATAAAGCGAGTACAAAAAAAGGTAAAGGGGGTAGGCGTATACGGAAATCGAGGCGTGCACTCATGGCGCAGTATATATAATTGATTAGCGTGCACTAGCATCGGCTCTATGTGCGTGTGTGTGCGTATGTGTATATGCATCATGCGCATAGCACCTTTCTATATCTATATATGTATATAATATTGCAGCTTGCAGCCAATTCAATTAGCCAGGAGAGTAATAACTTTGCCAGTGGAGCAGAGGCTCGATAATAACACGTCATCAAGCTTCAATTGAGAATGGTTGAAATTCGCACGTGTCGATCAGATGAAAAGCCCCAACTGCCACTACTAGCCCCCCTTCATTTCCTTAACCACTCTCTCTCTCTCTCTCTCTCTCTCTCTCTCTCTCTCTCTCTCTCTCTCGCTTTGTAA